ACTCATCTTGGACAAAAGTGCCAAGAACAATGGGGAAAGGACATTCTCTTCAATAAATGATGCTGGGAAAGCTAGATATCCACATGCAGAACAATGTAACTAGACCCCTATCTCTCACCATATATAAAATCAACTCAAAATGAATTAAAAACTTAAATATCAAACTTGAAACTATGAAACTACTGGAAGAAAACATTTGGGAAACACTCCAGGTCATTGGTCTGGACAAAAACTTTTTGTATAAGACCACAAAACACAGGCAACCAACACAAGACTAGACAGATGGGATTTATATCAAGCTAAAAAGCTTCTACACAGCAAAGGAAACAACAAAATGAAGACACAGCTTACAGAATGGGAGAAAATACTTGCAAACTACCCATGTGATGAGGGATTAATAACCAGAATATAAAAGGAGCTCAAATATCTCAATAGTAAAAACCAATAATCTGTTTTAAAAATAGGCAAAAGATCTGAATAGACCTTTCTCAAAAGAAGATCTGTAAATAGCAATCAGGTGTATGAAAAAATGCTCAACATCACTACTCAGAGAAAGGCAAATCAAAACTACAATGAGATAACATCTCATCCAGTTAATATGACTTTTATCCAAAATGTAGGCAGTAATCCCCCCCCAATGAGATAACATCTCATCCAGTTAATATGACTTTTGTCCAAAATATAGGCAGTAATCCCCACCCCTGCCAAAAAAAAAAAAAAAAAAAAACGCAAATACAGGCAATAGTGGATGCTGGTGAGGATGCAGAGAAGGGTGAACCCTTGTACATCGTTGGTAGGAAAGTAAATTAGTATAAGCACTATGGAGAACAGTATGGATGTTTTTTTAAAAAAAACTAAAAATAGACTACCATATGATCCAGCAATTCCACTAATACATATGTGTATGTGTATATATATGTGTGTGTATGTATATATACATGTGTATGTGTATATATGTGTGTATATATATTAGTGGAAGTTTTCTCATAAGTTTTATGTAAGCTTTATTTACTTTTGGATATATATATCTCTGTCCAAAAGATATATATAGATATATATCAGATATATCAAAAAGATGTTTGCTATCTGTACTCCCATGTTTATTGCAGCACTATCCACAATAGCTAAGATACACAATCAATCTAAGTACCCATCAATGGATGAATGGATAAATCAAATATGGTTTATATATATAACGGAATATTATTCCACCATAAAAAGAACGAAATCCTGTCATTTGCAGCAGCTTGGATGGAACTGTAGATCCTTATGTTAACTGAAATAGCCAAATGCAGAAAGACAAATGTTGCATGTTCTTCCTCATATGTGGGAGCTACGAAGGTGGATCTCATGAAGATAGAGAGTAGATTGGTGAATACCAGAGGCCAGGAAGGGTAGGAGGGAGTGGAGGATGAAGAGAGGTTGATTAATAGGTACAAATATATGGTTTGACAGAAGAAATAAGATGTACTGTTACATGGATCAGTCGGGTGACTATAGTTTACAACAATCTATTGCACATCTTGAAATAGCTAGGAGAGAAAAATTTGAATTGTTCTATGTGAAAAGACAAATATTTAAGATTATGGCTACCCCAAGTATACTCATCTTTACAAATTATATCAATGTATTAAATGATCATATTGACTCTGAAACGATATTATGCATAGTAAAAAATAAAGTTTTCTTACAGATAAACTTGAAGCTCCTTATAAAATTCCTTGCTGATTCCATTCTCCTTCCTACCTCCTCAGAGGGAACCACACTATATTTACTTCCTATAGCAGATGTTGTTTGTTGCCTAGACAATATTCATGCCTTTCTTTATAGAATCCCAATTTCCTTTAGCTATCTACTCTGCTTCTAGAGGACGTCCTACTTAAGAGAGGCAGGTGCCAGCCCCCAGTCCAGGCAGACTGATTGATTTAAGCCAGTGATGGGGATGTACCATTCCTCTCGCCAGAGTTTGGTTTAGGCATTGGCATGTGATACAATTTTGACCAATGAGATACGAGGGAAAGTCTGCCAGGGACTTCTGGGAAAGATTTCCTCTTTCCTGAAGGAGGCACACAGAGGAAGAGAGTCCCTTTTTCCTTGGAGCTTTGGTGTGTTGAGATGTGATGCCTGGAATGTTTTAACTTCTGGGGTCATGAAGGGAGTCAGACTGTGGACAAAGGTGACACGTGGAGGATGGCACAATAGAAGGACAAGATGAATCTAGGTTCTTTGTTTCTGCTCTTCGGCAACTGAATTAACACTGGAAACTCTAGATCTGTGTTCATTATGCATGACAATAAATTCCTACTTGTGATTCATGCCAATTTGAGCCACAATTTTCTGTTACTTTTAGCTAAAAGTAGTCAAAATTATATATTTCTAGTCCAAGAAGTTATACTTTTACTACATAGATGGTTTTATAATGATGTGTAATTATTTTGTGTTCTTTACACAAATGATCTTGTATCATTCAAGTTGTTTTTTTAATTCAACATTTAATTTTTGCCAAGTTGATAGTTTAAGCATTGTATAACTCATTGTACAAAAATATCACTATTCATGCACTTATTGATGGACATTTAGGTTAATTTTTTCCCTATTACAAATAGTTCTGCAATATCTATTCCATTAGACGATGCCATGTGTACATATATGAGAGCTTCTCTAGGGCTGCGCTATCCAGTATGATAGCCACTAGTCACATGCAGCTATTTAAGTTAAAATTAAAAGTTCAGTTTTTTGGCCAGGTGTGGTAGCTCATGCCTGTTATTTCAGAACTTCGGGAGGGGAGGCAGACAGATCACTTCAGGTCAGGAGTTTGAGACCAGCCTGGCCAACATGGTAAAATTAGCTGGGAGTGGTGGTATGTGCCTGTAGTCCCAGCTACTTGGGAGGCTGAGGCACGAGAATCACTTGAACCTGGGAGGCAGAGGTTGCAGTGAGCTGAGAGTGCACCACCACACTCTAGCCTGGGTGACAGAATGAGACCCTGTCTCAAAAAAAAAAAGAAAAAAAAAAGTCACATTTTTGGTTGCCTTAGCCACATTTCAAGTGTTCAATAGCTACATGTGGTTAGTAGTTATTGTACCGGATGACACAGATATGGAAAGTTCCTGTCATTGTGGGAAGTTGTGTTGGATAGTGCTGCTCCAGGACAGGGTTTCTCAATATTTTTCATAGCATGACACCTGCAGAAAATGATAATATTTGTGCAGCTCACTGGGATAAATAGATAAGGCTGCTCAAGGTCAGAGGAGACTGGTTCAGGGACCCTGGCTGCCCTAAGACCTTCTCAGTTGCCCTAAGGACTCAGGGACTGCTGATGTCTCAGGTATCCCTGTAACTCAATTCCTGCCCAACAGCATGCCTTGGCTTTGCTTTAGGTGTATACCCAGAAGGGCTGTTGCTGGGTCATAGTGCATGCATGTTTCAGTTTTACCAGATATTACCATCTTATTTTCCAAAGTAGTTATAACAATTTATACTTACGTCAGCAGTAAATGCATGTTCCTCTTTTCTTCTTCTTGGCAATACTTGATATTGGGAAATTTTTATATTTATGCCAATCTGATGGGTGTGAGTTAATATACCATTATTTTAATGTGTATTTCCCTTATTTTGGGTAAGGTTGAATGTTTTTTCATAAATGTAATTTCTTAGAATTTCCTGTGCATATCCTTAGTCTATTTCGTATTATCTTGTTTATTACTTTAATTCATTTGAGGAATTATTTTTTCGGATGCTAACCCATTTGCAAGTTATATGAAATATCATGTATTTTGGCCCATCGCTCATCTTTTAGCTTTGCTTATGATATATGTTGTGGCACCAAAGTTTTAAATTTTAACATTGTCAAGATTATCAAACTTTTTCTCTGTGGTTTGAGCTTTTGTGGCTATATTAAGAAATCCTTTCTTATTTCAATGTCAAAAAGATAATCTCTTATTTTTCTTCTAACAGTTTTCAAGTTTTACTTTTCACATAGAGGAATTTAGACAGCTTTCATACTAAGAATCGAGTTTTAAATTCTTACAACTAGGCCGGGTGCAGGGGCTCACACCCATAGTCCCAGCACTTTGGAGGCCGAGGCAGGTGGGCAGCTTGAGCTCAGGAGTCGAAACCAGCCTGGGCAACATGGTAAAACCCTGTCTCTACAAAAAAATACAATAATTAGCCGGGCCTGGTGGTGTGCGCCTGTGGTCCCAGCTACTGGGAAAGCTGAGGTGGGAGATCAATGCTTGTGAAGTCGCCTGGGGGCTGAGATCGTGCCACTGCACTCCAGCCTGGGTGACAGAGACTCTTGTCTCAAAACAAACAAAAAACCCTCCAACAACTTAAACAAAAAAAGATTTAATTCTGTCTCTGTCTTCCAGAATCCCCTACTTTATATCTTTTTATAAATCTTTTTATAGTAAATCAATATATATTACCAAAATATATATTTCATAAATATGTTCCTTTAAAAAAATGAAAATTGCTTTTTTTTTTTTTTTTTTTTTTTGAGGCAGTCTAACTCTATTGCCCACGCTGGAGTGCGGTGGCATAATATTGACTCACTGCAACCTCTGCCTCCTGGGTTCAAGTGATTCTGGAACCTCAGCCTCCCCAGTAGCTGGGATTACAGGTATATGCCACCATTCCTAGCTAATTTTGTATTTTGTGTAGAGATGGGGTTTCCCCAAGTTGGCCAGGCTGGTCTTGAGCTCCTGACCTCAGGTGATCTGCCCACCTGAGCCACTCAGAGTGCTGGGAGGCGTAAGCCACTGTGCCCAACCGAAAATTGATATTTTGAAGAGTCTAAAATTTCCAGTTTTGCATATCTACTAGAAATGCAGTGTGAGTATTTTATTGTCTTTTTCACTTTTTAATGTATTCTGGGGTGGTAAAATGTTTGTCACCTTGTATATTTGTATTCTATCGATTCTCTAATTTGAATTATCAAGAACAAAGGTCACTGTCCTTTCCCTCCACATGTTGTTACCTGAGTTGTCTCTGTCTTCCAGAATCCCCTACTTTGAAACTAGTGCTGCCAATGGGACAAACATAAGCCAAGCAATTGAGATGCTTCTGGACCTGATAATGAAGCGAATGGAACGGTGTGTGGACAAGTCCTGGATTCCTGAAGGAGTGGTGCGATCAAATGGTCATGCCTCTATGGATCAGTTAAGTGAAGAAAAGGAGAAAGGGGCATGTGGCTGTTGAGAAGTCAAGTAAGCGACATAGTAGTTGAGGTGGCCCATGCCTGGGATCTTCTCTATGATTGATACATGGCACAGCGAGAGATTAATGGGCATTGTGTACAAATTGCTTCTCACCATCCCCATTAGACCTACCAATAAAGCATCTGGTTTTAAAAATAATTTGTTGCAGCTTTGAAATATTTCTTTAAGATTTAGCCTGAGAGTTAGGAGAAATATTTCAGAGCCAAAAGTGCCTTATAAAGCCTTAGCCTATTATAGTAAATCATTCAAGAATTTAGAATTTTGCAGTCACAGAAGAGTGTATTTATTATGTAGAATGAATGAGGGTACTGTCACCTGCCTCAATGTAGGTAGGCCCAGAGTCTTACATTTAAGATCTTACATGCAATTATAAAACTGCCACAGTCTTCAATCCAGATTTAAAGCCTCATGTCATAGGTGACATTCTAAAATCCCATTAAAGCCACTTGAGTGTTAAATAAGGATATACATGCACATCAGCTCAATGTCTTTGAGTATTAATTTTATGTAAGCATTCTATTTAACATGAATATAAGAGGAATCATGGACATATCTATAGACCTTGGATAAACTGGATTGACCAATTGTATGTTCACGGTGACTTTTTTGTTGGTGGGAAAGGGATTGGGGTGGGGCAGGGTGGCTTAATGTAATATGAGCAACCAAAGTGGGACTTCTGGCTCCCTGCTATATTCCCATTGCTCTGAATGGTTGATTGAAGGGTCAGGGAACTAGGTTTTATGGCTTTAGTTCACTGTGATTGTACATTTATACTTGGCCCACGTGCTGGCCACATCTGAACACAGCTGGTGCTTATGCCAAATTATTTGTGATGAGTAAATATTTAGTTTCTTTTTCTTCATATTTATAATGTTGATCTGGCATCCTCAGGCTGCAGCTTAATTAGCTTATAAATTACTTATCTCTGTCTTTACCAGCAGGCTCTGTATTGTTGATATTTGCGACTTGTTTTGCTTTTCCATTGGTGGAATTATTAGTTTTTAATTACATAAGATGCCTGTTTGCTATTTGGTGGAAGATAGAAGTTCATATTGAAGCAGTTATATTTGTACTGTAGTTCAATAAAAGAAAAATGAAGTATTCTGTAGCTATGTTTTTCATAGAGCTCATGAGCATTTACTGTACTTGCTGGATCTTGCCAAGATCATATATTCTGCTGTATTGCCAAAGTGTCTTCATACCAAATTTAAGGTGGTTTTAATATATGTTTCATGGAAGTTGTTTATAAAATTCAAAGGTATTTCATTTAGGTGAAAAGTCTTATTTATTAAAGTGGTTTGAATAAAGTAGATCAAAACTTTCAGAGATCTTAATGGCTATTTAGGAAAAATATCACTCACTAGAATTTAAATAAAGAATAAAAATAAATTTTGTGGTGGCAAATGTTTGGTAGAACTGTAATTAGAAAAAAACAAGTGTATTTGGGTGATGGTTACACTAGAAGCCCAGACTTTACGACTACACAATATATTCATGTATCTAAACTGTACTTGTACCCCCTAAATTTATTTTTAAAAAAGGAAAAATATAAGTATAATGAAAAATGTTATTTTTTTTCCCACTGTCCTTCCACTGCTCCCATAACATACTTAGCCATGGTTGGTAAAATTTTGCATATTTCTATCCTTGAAATAAAGGCTTCTTTTAAATTCCAAAGAGGTCACTGAGGCCTGTGCATTTGAATTGTATATGCTAGTGACGAAAAGATTTAGACATTTCAAGAGCAGGGTCGGCCGGGTGCCGTGGCTCACGCCTGTAATCCCAGCACTTTGGGAGGCCAAGGTGGGCGGATCACAAGGTCAGGAGATCGAGACCATCCTGTCTAACAGTGATACCCCGTCTCTACTAAAAATAAAATAATAATAAAAAAAATTAGCCAGGCGTGGTGGCGGGCGCCTGTAGTCCCAGCTATCAGGAGGCTGAGGTAGGAGAATGGCGTGAACCCGGGAGGTGGAGGTTGCAGTGAGCTGAGATAGCGCCACTGCACTCCAGCCTGGGAGACAGAGCGAGACTCCATCTCAAAAAAAAAAAAAAAAAAAAGAAAAAGAGCAGGGTCATAATCACACAGCAGTGCCTTCTATAGTTGCCATAACACTTCAGTGGAGTACAACATAATTTTACAGCTACATATCAGGGCATATTTTATATGGTATATTTGTGTTAGAATAACACATTAAATGTCTTTAAACGTAAGAATGTTTGCATGTTTCAGTTTTCAAGAACCAACCAAGTAATTAGCTATAGATTCCACTGGCCTTAAACATACAATTAAGTGTATACATGATATAGTGCACACACAAGAGCCACCTTTAATTATTGAAATAACCTGTATTCTTTTTGGAAATCATTTTAGTTTGGTATTGAAGTACTATATTTTTTGTGCATCAATGTATTTTTCTATTTACAAGCCTATGTAAAAGTGAAGTGTATCTTCAGTGAACCATGTGCCAATTAAGCTATAATAAAGTGGTCTAGTCTGTCAAATTTGTGTGTGAATGTAACTTTATTTCGTATCACAAAGTTTCATACCAGAGGTTGTAATGCCAAAGGAAATGAAATTCAGGGATACACGTTCCATTAGGTGCTCACTGAGGGGCCAGCCAAGACAACATATTCTGGAAAAGTAATTTAAAATGTTATCAGGCTGGGCGCGGTGGCTCATACCTGTAATCCCAGCACTTTGGGAGGCCGAAGCGGGCAGATCACCTTAGGTCGGGAGTTCGAGACCAGCCTGACCAACATGGAGAAATCCCATCACTACTAAAAATACAAAATTAGCTGGGCATGGTGGCGCATGACTGTAATCCTAGCTACTTGGGAGGCTGAGGCAGGAGAATCGCTTGAACCCAGGAGGCAGAGGTTGCGGTGAGCTGAGATCTTGCCACTGCATTCCAGCCTAGGTGACGAAGCAAAACTTTGTCTAAAAAAAAAAAAATCATAAAAAATTGGATAAATCTGAATATACAAACAACATATTTCTGCATGGAAAAAGACCATGAGCAAAACTTAAAATATTGATAGGGAAATAATTTCTAAATGCATGTCAGCAAAGGACTAACCTTAACGTGTAAAGTGCTGTTAAAAATCAACAATAGAAAACTGTGTAGGACCTGAACAGGCAACTCACAGAAAAAAGTTGAAAAACATTGTGAAAGATTCTTAACATCATTTGTAATTAAATTCAAGTTGAAATAATAAGATAAATTTTCATCTCAGGTTGGCAAAGATCACTTTTCATAGGGGTGTAGTGAAACAGACATCTTATTTGTTGATCCTGAGTGTTAATTCGTAAAAACTTTTGGAAGGCAATTTAGTATTATCTGCCAAATTTTAAAATTAGGTATCTATATCCAGCTCCTCTTGATCCAGCAGTTCTACATAAACCCTCTCTTGAAAAAGCGTGTCAGTAAAGATGCTTATTATACCAAAAGATAAGAATGTCCATCGCTTAGTGACCAATTAAAATACTTTCGTACAATGGCATATATATATATAGATAAAAAAGAATGTTAAATACCCGTTTACAGTAAAATATGTATCAAATGCCTATTATGTGCCAGGGACTATTCTAGATAATGGGATGTAGTTGTAAACCAAACGAACTGACATCCCTGCCCCTCATGGAGCTCACATTCCAATGGAGACAAGGTAACAGCAAGATGCAGAAAAGGGTAAATAGTATATTAACTAGTATTATAAAGAAGAGGACGTAGAGACAGGGAAACACACAAATATACGTGTTTGCCTATGCACAGAAAAGCTCTGGTAGGTAACAAATGGAACTGTTTTGCCCCTGGGGAGGAAGACAGCAGGTCTAGGAAAGGAGGTAGTTTCCGGCGAAAGGATTTGTTTTTTTTGCTTGTTTGTTTGTTTTTGTTTTTGAGACGGAGTTTCGCTGCTGTTGCCCAGGCTAGAGTGCTATGGCGCGATTTCGGCTCACCGCAACCTCCGCTTCCTGGATTCAAGCGATTCTCCTGCCTCAGCCTCCCGAGCATCTGGGATTACAGGCATGCGCCACCACGTCCGCTTAATTTTGTATTTTGAGTAGAGACGGGGTTTCTCTATGTTTGTCAGGCTGGTCTCAAACTACTGACCTCAGGTGATCCGCCCACCTCGGCCTCCCAGAGTGCTGGGATTACAGGCGTAAGGCACCGCGCCCGGCCAAAAATATTTGTTTACTACATATGTATATTAATTAAAATGGAAGGCGGGAGGCGGAAAACACGATTTTATATTTTTAAAAATTGCTGGTAAAGTCCGTGGAGCATCAACGACTCAACCGTTTTCATTATAATGTTCGAAAAAGCAACGCTGGATTGCAGATTCTTCGCCGCTTACACCCTGCAAGTCACCATGGGACGAGAATAGAAGGCTGGTTTAGGGCAGGCAGTAGACAAACGAGTTAAGAGAGCGCACTCGAGAGCACTCCGGGGCAAAGCACAAACCAAATATACATAAAACGTGCGTAAATGCCGACATACGGAGAGAAAAAAAATAGGCGCTGTCAGACCGAGTTCAGAAGGTGGCGCAAAACCATATTTCCCCAAAGTAAGAGCGAACAGGTCTAGTCTGCAGCTCTGCGCCTGCGTCAAACGGCAGCGCTTTTGACCGCACGGCCGCGGGAGGAACAGTCGTGTTCGCTTCTCGTCTAACTGACCCGCGAGAACTAAGGACGCTTGCCTTTTTCCGGTCGGGGGAAGGGGGAAGAAGGTCACTTCCGGGGACGGGGTGGTGTCACTTCCTCTCAAGCTTGGCGTTTGTTTTGTGGGGTCCCACGCGGGTTCAACATGCGTATCGAGAAGTGTTATTTCTGTTCTGGGCCCATCTACCCTGGACACGGCATGATGTTCGTCCGCAACGATTGCAAGGTGAGGCGACCGAGACCAGTCTGCGCTTCAGCCTAGCTTCCGCGGTTCCTGGGCGCGGCGACTAAGTGCCGGGTGCTTCTGCGTCTGCCGGGTTTGGCCCTGGTTGCTCCCGCTGTCCCCGTGGGAGGGTGGCTTAACTGGGGCTCCGGTCTCAGCGTTCCGCTTCGGGCATTTCTCCTTCCCGGTGTCCCGAGTGGCGCTGGCCACCAGGCCACCCTTGGGTGGCGTTGGCAGCGTGGAGCTTCAGGAGCTATCCCAGCTAGCGCCTACCAGGAATCTTGGATGTCTGTGAGGGCTGTTTGGCCACTCGTGTACGTGGGCCACGTTCTTGAATCCAGTAAACTTTGTTGAGTGTATACCCTGTCAGGCATTATGCTGAGGTCCATACTAAAGTGTAGAGGTTGATGGAAGTGCTCCATATTGCTTAATAGTTGACTTATGTATTAAGTCTACTGCAGGTAGTACTGCATTAGGTACTGCGGGTGGGTTGGGGAGGGTCCCGTACGGAAAGACTCAGAATGGAGGTGATATTTATCTTGGATCCTGAATTTTGCGGAAGAAAGAGCGGAGGGAGCCTTCTAAGTGGAAGGAAAGTGAACATTTTGAGAAAAGGCAGAGAACGGAGCAAATCCACTTGTTTGAGTAAGTGACTGGATTGTAAGTGATGATAGAGCCTTGGGCGTAGGGCTACAAGTATAATTATAGTAAGTGTGTGAAGGTAAATAATAAATGAGTCCTAGTTGTGAAAGACGTTTTGAATGGTACATGAGTTTGTCCTGTCATGACAGAATGAATCCCGTTCCTCTCTTTCTCAGAGAAATACATTGTTGCTCAGAATTTGACTTCTTAAGTTTGCTTCTGAATTACTGGGCTTTTACAGATTCCTGGTTTCCACCAGATCTGTTGACTTGGAATCTTTAGGGGAGGGGAAGAGGGTCTAAGAATCTGTATATTAAGGTGAATTTGACATGCTAAAGAATTACAAGTCTGACTTCACTTTATATCTCTGTAACAGATCAAAGATATTGACCCCATTAATTAAATGCAAGGGATTCAGCTGAAAATGAGGGACCAAAGCTATGTGTGGTAAGGTAAAAGAACGTAGAAGGTTTTGAATACTTGCTCTCAGGAACATGATAAGTTTATAAAAATGAACCAAAAGATTGCCAGGTTGGAGTCTAATTCAGAGTAGGCATGATCTCGTTATACATGATCTCCTTACGATTTTGTGATTTTCGTCCAGGATGCTTGTCAGCTGGATATTGGAATTAGAACAACAGATCGTGAGAGCTGTCAAGACCTCGGTATTGATTTGGTAGACACAGTGGAAGTTAAGTTGATGAAGAATAAGGACAGTGTTGAGTTGCTTGGGAGTCAGCTTGGCCTAAGGAAGACCAGTGGATCTAGAAGAGAGTTGATGGAGGAAATAAAAGATAGAGGGCCTGAAGCACTAACAAAGAACAAGCATCTCACCTTTTTTATGTTCTTGATTTCCACGTCTGAATCTCCTGAGCTCCAAATCTGAATTTTCCACTGGATGTACCTCACAGTGGGCCTACTGAAAGAGAATTCCGTAGTACCTCAAATCTTTTTGCTCTGTGAATTAATACCACTCTTAAGTGCCCAGATAGTTTTGCTAGAAACGTGAGAGTCATCTTTGAATCTTTCACCTTTTGTATCTAGTTATCAAGACTTACCTATCCCGCCTCTGAAAAAATAGTGGTGTCTTTGCCTTCTTTCTGCTTTCCTGCCCTAGTTCAGATTAGGCACTTACCACTTTTATAGCCTCTTACCTAGTCTTTTTTTTTTTTTTGAGACAGGGTCTCACTCTGTATTACCCAGGCTGGAGTGCAGTGGTGTGATCATGGCCCTCTGCAGCCTCAGTCTCCTGGGCTTAAGCAGTCCAACTTCCTCAGCATCCTGAGTAGCTGGGATTACAGGTGTGCACCACCATGCCCAACATTAAAAAAAATTTTGTAGAGACGGGGAGAAAAAAATTTTTTTTTTTTTTTTTTTTTTTTTTTTTTTGTAGAGACAGGGACTTGCTATGTTTCCCAGGCTTTAACTAGTCTTTCTGCCTTTATTCTCTTAGTTTCTGAGACTGTTGTTAATAGAAACTTCACCTTTTACTCTTCTTAGGCATAAATGGATTAAGGGTAGAATTAATGCTAATTCTCCATATTTGCACATACTTTGCAAACAGGAAAAATACAGTCTTAATGAGGGTTTAATACATGTTGAATTAGTGGAATAAGAAAAGTTTGAAGACCTTTGAGTCCAAGGTATGGGGGATCATTTGTTAGCATGTTAGCATTTAGGGGACTAAATTAAAAGAGAAACTTGAGAACATAAAGCTTTGCCTGACACATAAGCCATCTACCTCTTACACCACCATAGATTTAACCACTTCCTCATATGTGTTTACATGTTACATTATACATGATTATAGCTTTATCCCATTGTTTATATCCTAGTCAGATCTCGGTCTTTCTTGATCGCAAAGTGAGACTATCACATTGCTAGACTAAGCTTTTCAAGGTAGAGTACCAAATTTTAATTGTTCTTGTATCCTTAGTACTGGTACAACATCAGGCACATAGATACTCCTTATTTGCT